AAAATTATATTTTAAAATTACAATTTCATTTACAATTCAAGATGAGTTTGATCATCAATGAAAATCAAACACCTTATCCCCAGATATATATTTGCACGCAATATCTAACTTTCTTGAAGTGGAAAAACGTGGAAAACTTTTATATAAAAGTTCTAACAGGGTTGTAATATAAAATTGGAAATACTTGCAAATTTAGGAAAATAAATTGTTTAAAAATCTTGGACCTAAAGTATTTAAAATAATTTAATTTGGAAACTTTCACAAATATACAAACACAGGAAATAGCTCAAGAATTTAAGAATTCAAAATTAAGACGACCATATTTTGGTATCAACATGTATTGAAATTATAATTTTTGAAAAATTAATTAGATATCAAAGCCTTTAGGCAACCCTTTTTATTAAATTACCTGTAAGTTTTTATTTATTTTTTGTTTTTTTCTGGGAAAATCAGAATTTTCATACCAATGTATGTCGAGCTTAGTTTTGGAATTTGCAAAATGTAATTTTCTGAATTAATTATCAAACAGATGTAATTAGTGCCATAAAATGCGATTGAATTCCTTAGCAATATTATTTAGTTCATTAAATAATTTATTTTGTGTTTGTTTGTATTACTTAATAACAATTAATATATAAACATTGTTATCTTAACATTGTTGTTTTTAATGTGTTTTTAAAACTACTATATTAAAGACTATATTGTAATTAAATTAGAACTTGATATGTTAGACAAATGTATTTATGATGCATTTTAAAATATATAATTATAATAATCAATAATTCTAAACTATCTTAAAATTTTTGTTATCTACATATAATTAATAAATAAAAAAATAACTATTCGACCAGAGTGTTAAATCAGGAACAGTTCAGAAACCATTTCATTCTATAAGATTTTATTCAAAATTTATATTTTGCCTTTGCCACTCAAATCGACGAACCATTACAAATTGATATAACCAAATTTAATTAAATTAGTTTAATAATAATTTTTTGCAGAAATCCATTATTTCAACTTTATCCCTTCAAACTCAAATCTACGAACCATTATCAACTACAACTTTGAGGAACACTTTAGAGGCTCCTGAAGAACAAAATTGGCCTGGAATGCACGATTATTTCGACAACCTCTTGATAGAACACGAAAATAAAATACTAGAAGAAAAAAAATGAAAGTGAGAGTATTCATTTGTCCAAAGAGATTTGAAGACAATATTGATATCGTCTACTGCCACTTTGTTGCGGTGATATTGGTCATCATGGGTGTGATCTGGGCTTGTGAACAGGAAAGAATGGATAGGGAATTATTGGATTACTTGTTTAATGAATGAAAAAAAAAAGAAAATTGTTTAATCCTAATATCTTGAAATTTGAATCTTTCTACTATATAATTATTGAGCAGACAAGGGAATGATGTGGATCATTCTGGAAAATGACCCAGAATGAATGATGGAAGGGATCTCCATCTAAGGATGGATAAGATGTTCTTTTGGTTCATTTGGAAATGATTGCAAGATAATGTTTACAGAATAAAAGTAACTATTTGTTGAGGAAATGTTTTGGAATTGGTTACCATAATGAATTTTGACTAACAATAAGACATGAACCCAAATTACAAATTAGGCAAATTGACTGAAAAAATGAGTGTTTTGGTTAAGACAATAATTTTGCCTGTAATCTATCTGCTACCAAATAGTTAATAAAATGAGACTATTATTGAAAATTTTATAATGAAGTAGAGAAGTATAATTGTTGAAAGTGATAGAAAAAATAATCATTTACTGCCTGACTTTACTGACTGAAAAAATTAGTGCTTTGATTCAGACAAATTCTGATTCAAAAAAAATTCAATTAGTATGGTTTAATTAACAATAAACACCTTGCCATAGTTATAAAAAAATCATAATGTTTTCCAAGATTTTAAAATCATGTCAACACACAGTTTTTATCCAACTTTATCGCATGAGTTAAACTAATAATAATTTGTATGTAATTTTTAATTTGAATACACAACATGCAGATAAGATTTTTTATATAATTGTAATTACGTAGGTACAGAAGCTATTACGTTTTTTCTCAATCTGAAGATGATTTCATTTGCTTTATTTATAAAACAAATTGTTAATTATCTATGTTTTATAGACAAATTATCAAATGTATTAATTTTCTTGCATAATTCGTACACATGCTCGTTTTTGTGACTTGAGCTCTTGCCAGAAATTATAAAATGATCATTATTGGATCAAGACCAGGATAAAATATTAATTAGTATGTTATTACTTTAACATTAAAAATTGTATAAATTTTTAAGCACTTTAGACTTCACGTGATTGCGAAAAATAGTTTTACTGAACAAATTTCGACTAAAAAATTAAATACGAGTATAAACACAAAGGTAAATTAGATAGATACATCTATTTTTTATATTATAATTATAAAATTCCACTAAATCCTCATAATGTTATTGATTTAGATTTTTTCAGTTATGTAAAATGTAAATATAGATTATTTTTACACGTAACCAATTAATTAGTAATCAGCTCTTGTTTTTTTGTTTATGAGTCATGAATAAGAATTATTAATATTCATATATCGATTCATAGAAAATGAATTAATAACCGATCTAATATGTATTAATACACACACACAAAATATCATACATATATGTAGATGAAAAGTGTAAATAAAATAATAATTGTTTCCATTTATTGATTTTGTGGATGTCTTTGAATATCTCATTAAAATTCATTCTCATAAATTGGATCATTCAAATCGGATGCTCCGATCTCTCAAAACTCCATTTCTATTTTCTGCACTCTTTGCTCCGTATCTCCGAAACGGCTGAACCTGCCTTTGCCAAAAACTAATCAAAACATATCCCTATCAATAGGAATCGAATGATTTTTGAACCATTCAAATCGGTTGATCCGTGTGCCCGAAAACGTGGACAAAAACTTGTATTCATACTCGTACATACATACACACACAACCCCATTTTTTCTGAGGTATGCCAAAATGTTCAGAAACCTTCAAACGTCGAGAAATGCAAAAAAAAATATTTTTGATTTTAGGACCATTACTATAACTACCCTACGGGAAGTAAATAATAATTGTTTATATTTATTGATTTTGTGGATAGATATCTTCAAATATTTCATAAAAATAAAGCCATTCGAGTGCTTGAATACTTTGAAAATTCATTCCCAATTTTTTCAAAATTATTATATTACTTATTATGAATTTTAAATTTTAAATTTTTTAATAAAATGTAATATTTTTTCTACTATATTACTAATATTTACCATCTTTGTTTTATTTTCATCGATAATTCTTTCATGCGTCAACGATATACGGTACATATTTAATATGGACAAACAGTATTGTTTTGTGTATAAATGCAATTAACAATTTTATATTAATTCCACAAACATTGTGATACACATATTCGGTAGAAAGACAAATACTTTACACATTTGAAAATTGGACCAAAATAAGTTTTGAAATATACTTCTACACTTATAATTAGAGATCGTAGTAATATACATATTTATATACATTTGTGTATTTGGCATTTTCTCAGGTTGCAAAATAATTTCATTCTCAGTAAAGGTAAGAGAAATTCTTTAAAAATTTAAATGGATGAATAATAAAATTGTTTTTTTTTATGTTTTGAAGCTACATAATTATAACTTTCTCTAGGGTAAGTTATAGTAATCGCAACGAAATCTAAAAAGATCTTATATCTTTACGACAGAATAAATAAAAAATGCATGTGTGTATGTATATGTATGTATGTTCGGATACTTTTTTCACCACAATTTTGGAAGAACAGATCAACCGATTTAAATGATTTTAGAAGCATTTGTATTGTATTGAAAGAAAGGCGTGCTTAGTAGTTTTTGCCGAAAGCAGGTCCAGCAGTTTCGTAGATACAGAGAAATATGTGCATAAAATAGCAGCTTTTAAGAAAATGGAACATCCGATTAGAATGATTCAAACAGAATTTGATTCGTATTGATGGTGAGATACACTGATTGTATATACTGTACTGATAAATATGTATGTATTTTTGAATATTTTTTTTGTCCACGATTTCTGTAGCACGGATCAGCCGATTTGAATGATTCGAACAACATTGCATTGAGTTATATTACTTTTTGGTGAAAGTAGGCCCAATCATTCTGGAGATTCAGAGAAAAAAATGTGAAAAAGTAGTTTCTGAGAAAACAGTGCATCTGATTATATTGATTTAAACAAGATTTGATTCGTATTGGTAAGGAGAAGTACTGATTAATTTTTGACAAAAGCAGGTCTAGCTCTTTTGGAGCAAAAAGTAGTTTTATACTATAGTCATTAAAAAATTATATTTTATAACTTATATTCGTACAAAACTTCATCAACATCCTCAATATCCTTTACCCATTATCCATCAATCGAACTGGCAGCAACTTTATGGAACATGTGCAACATTTTGCTAGAAAGTTGTACGAGCAAAATAACATAAAATAGAATTCATTCTCGTCACGTATTTTCTCGGATAGACCGCATTGTGAAAATTAACACTTCTGCAACGCGGCATAAATAAACACCAGCACCTTTTTCATTTTATTGCCTTTCAAATGTATTTTCAAATTTTCAAACTACCGAGGAAATAAACTGGGAAAATTGGTAGTAGATATAGTTGGTTTAAAATAAGAAACTATCAAAATAACTATTATTTTCAATATTGAATTATATACCTAAATGAAATAATTACTTAATAAATAACTCACTTTTAGTCGATAGAAGGTACCAAAACACTTGCCTTTTATAAATACACTAGTCACTGCATATATTTTTACACTACAAAAAATCTAGAAAATTTTCCAGCGATTATTTTGTTCCTGCATAAATTATAATTCATTATCTAAATTGCCAACATATTCTGATAACTTGCAATTTAAGTTGAGTGCGAAATTAAAATGCATTTATATTACGAACACACGTTTAATAAAGATATAAAAATAATTTTAAATAATATCACTTCTTACTTTTTTACAACAACTTACATACTTTTCTAGTTGTTTGTCAAAATATCTTCAAAGGAAAACGGTTTGAAGGTGTATCCTTCTCCAGAGTAAAATTTGCTCATGTATTCCACCCTGAGAAAAAATTAGATTAAATTTATACATGGTTTTGATGATGACTCTAAATTTATGTTTGATTACCAATGCAATCGTAAGGTATGCAAAAATGCTGATAATCCTTCCATAAGAACCAAAACAGTGACAGTCAATACTGCCCAAGCAGCAAAAGCTCCATATAAAAATAATGGTGCCAAAGGACCCCGGAGATGAGAAGGTCCTGATATCACTCGCGACCAGAGCACTTCAGAAAGTTCTGAAAAAAAATTATATCTTGTTACTTTTAAAACTGAAAAATTTCCCAACATATTTAGAATTTTATTAGTATTTTTTTCTTACGTGAATGTGCCAAAGAAAGGGCCCACAATCTCAAATAAGAAGCAGTATGTGACACAGTGCTCAGGACAAATTCAATCGTGTGGATTGCTTGAAGAATAAATTCATCTCCTAAATTGTATTCTTCATCCAAATGTGGTTCATCATCATTTGGTAATAATGGAGTCAGCTCGGAAGTTGATTCTGTCTGGAAAAACTAAGAACAAAATCATAAAAATAATTAGACAAATAATGCTAGAAGCTACAGCCAAAGAAGCTAAATCTTACTTTTTATCAAATAGAAATCAGCATGGAACAAAATAAGACTTGTAAATAAATCATTTAATTAATGTATCTCTTACCAATATTCGCCTGAACCGTATATGTGCTGACCGACTTCTCACCCACGTGGTTATTTTTTTACGCCAGATTTTGCTTATCACAATTAACGGTTTTGCTAACAACATAAGTGGAATGCTTATCAAAGCTAAAGTAACCAGTACTTTTTGCAAAATTAATTGACCATCAAATATAGTCACAGAACATTTCGAATTCTGGGAATGTGGTTTTTGCATAAGAACCATGTTGATGAACATGACCAGAATTGAAGGAGCGCATGATGGCTTGAAATGGGGATCTAATGATAAAAAATTATACTTTTATTTGTGTTTATATACGTTTACAAAATTTGATTCGTGAGTTTTATTCACCTGGACTTTGTGCTGAATATAGAATCCATTTTAGCACCAGAAGCGCGCAAAGATATCCAAAAATCGTTAACAAAATTAACATGCGTGGAATAAATTCGATCAAAATGTTGATTTTACGTCTAAACTGTCTGGATTTAAGCAAATTAATTAGTGCTTTGAATATCAAATCAGATATGTTGATTATAAGCTTATACTTACACATGATTAAATACTGATAGGCAAACTCCAACAACCATATGCAAAACTCCAATAATTATGGACAACTTCATTTTATATGAATTGGAGAAGAGAATTTTGTTATGGGCAAACTAAAATAATAACAAAAGTATTTTTAAAGTGGTCTGTTTTAAATTTGGCAGATTATTTACCTGCCATACAGGATCCATTCCCAAAAAATAAGGACTCCGAAATTGATCCTTAGGATCCAAGGTGACTTCATCTGTCACATGAGAAATATTAACCACAGTCCAACCAGATCCAAAAATGTTGATAGATTTCGAAAATATATCATTATATATAATTCCTGTATATATTGAGAATAAACCCATCATTAAAATGATGTATCGTCCAAAAAAGAAGAGATTCCAAATCTCATTGTCACTTTTTGCAGCTTCAAACTTTTTTTCTTTGACAATAGTTACTAAGGCAAATATGGATAATATTAATCCGTGTCCTAAATCACCAAACATGATGGCAAACAGGAATGGGAAGGTAACTATTGATAAAAAAGCTAAAACGTAGAAAAAAAAGGTAAAAGTTGGTAGCCTAAATGCAGATTTTTTTAATTACCTGGATTTACTTCTCGATACGAACAACATCCATATGTATCTATAAGGGATTGAAAACCTTTCGTGAATTTATTGGTCCTATAATATGTTGGTGGTGTTACATCAGTTTGAAGAATATTCAAGAAAGATTTGACTACACAATTTGACGAGCACTAGAAAATTTAATAAATATTGTAAATACGAGCAAGTTGATCTCATCAGTGGATTATGAATTAGTTTACTTCTGTAAGTAGATTTTTAACATCTATAACACGTTTTTGAGGAATCCAACATTCACCAATAAAACATTCACTTGATATATCCAAATTAAAATAATTTAAAGTGTGATAAACAGCCTTCATTTTCCTGACAGTAATTTGTCTGTAAGTTAAAACTTCTGCTATATTGGTTAACAATAAATTTTTGTGTTCTTCTGTTTCATCAATTATCTAAAAAATATACAGAAAAAATATAATAACACGCATTCTATATAAGAACATTTTTTTGCTTAAAAAATAACATTTTTATAAGATATTGATCAACTTACCAATTTTACATCGTTCAACTGATATTTCAAATTGTCAACCAACTGTTGTCTTGACACAATTTCTTTAGGATAATAATAAATCTTTGCTCTAAATCCTCTACATATCGTTAAAATATGAGTTTGTGTGATGTTTCCTTGAAAATACAGGACAAAAATTGATTTTGTAGAACTGTCTGTCTGCAAAATGTACAATGATAAAACATATAATTTTTAAGGATATTTATCAAAAAATATTTACAACTTGGTGATCTATATCTGAATATTTCAGAAGTGCATATCCATGAGAAACCCTCCAAATCATCTTTTCAAAACTAGGTAATCTTTGGGTTTCTATCACACCTGTTAAAAATCCACTTTCTTCCAATGCTACTTCAACATCAGAATTATTTGGCGATGTTGAAGACGATTCAATAAAGAATTTATTGGTCATAATTTCCTGCATTTAATAAACAACATTAAAATATACACAAAAGTTAATTGGATTTTTAAAAATTACCTCAGCTTTTTCTAAAACGTATATATTCTCCGACAACTCTTGTTGGCGTTGTAACAATTCATTATAATGTTGTAAAGGATCCGTAACTTTATTTTTATCCATTTCTATAGAAAACTGAAAACAAAAACCTACATCAAAAAATATTTATCAATTATATTGATTTCTTTTGTCTTTTACCTCTAAGTCCATGACTTCACGTGGATTTAATGTGGGAAAGTTTTCATCATTTGTAGAAGATTTTATTGGAATGTTTTCTTTAATTAATATATATTCTAAATATCCAAGTTTGCGTTCCATTTCATCACATAATCTTACTTCTGCGCTAAATTTTCTGCTACTTAAATTGCTGCCTGCATTTAGCTAAAAGAAGGAAATACCTTGATCATATGAAAATTAAATTTAAATTGAATATTATTTTTTTAAAGAGATTAAAATTTTCTACTCAATACTTTTTTTTAATATTATTTCTTTATTTTTATTATAATTGCAACAGACTTTCGGTAATTAAAGATTACATTTTTAGAAGATTGCCCATTTATCTTGTTGATGAAATTATGTGAAAAACTACGTGTCTTGGCGCCCCCTAAAACGTGCATTCAGGGTACAGCCCTGTGTGTAAGTACACTGAATATGATTCAATTACAATTTCTTTGTCAAAACATCTAACTTGTCTGATGTTAGAGTAGGTTATGGCAATATGTTTCCATATCTTATTTGTTCAAATTAATTTGATAACGGTACCCACATCTTTGAATTGTACGATTCCCTCATCGCCCAATTGGGAGACAGTGGCGTAGGCAGCCTCTGGCCGGACGAACATTTGGCACAGGGCCATTTCTTCGCTTCGAAACATCTTGCACACTTCTAGAAATAAAAAAAAATAATTGAAATATATATATATATATATATATATATATATATATATCAGCCAAAATAACTATTTATTTTGAAAATGGTATTAAAAAAATGGAATGTTTAAACTAATTATATATTTGAATTATGATTTATAAAAAATCCTCTATCAGGGATAGCAGCCATTCCGTGTAAAGCTTACTGCCTTGAAGGTTGTCACCTGCATGGCCAATATAACAAAACGAAAATACGTCCGAACAATATTTTTACACAATTTTGTTCATTAATATATAAATTATATTATTTATCTATATTAAATTTAGATTGTTAGAAAAAATAAGGGAAGCGTAACATTGCTTTAGAAAGCCGGGAGGAGGGGTTACAAAAAGGTTGGGAACTACTGGGATACATATTTACTACTCCTTACTCACTCAAGCTATTTGCCAAGAAAATACAAATATTGTCTTTCTGAATAACGCATTTTACTATAATTATTAATTTTTTTTACTACCTACTTTTTACTACTATATTTTGTTCATAGTTTCAGGAGCATTTTTTTCAAAAAAACTGGATATAAACTAAATTTGGCATAACCAAGGAGTACAAAATATGTAAAAATATAAACTACAAATGTAACTGGAAATTTAATTAATAATTTGAAATAAACAAAAATGATATTAAAATTATAATAACAATATTAAAATTCAATAACACCTTTATTGAATGATATACAATTTATTCAAATTTTACACGATTTTCATTTATAATTCAAAAATTATTCTATTATGATATTTTATTTTAAAATGAATAATTAATTTACAATTAAATTCAGTAGAAAGCATCGCGAGCACGTGTATGCCCTCAGACACATGCCTTTAATTATATTTGACCATTAAAATCAGTCTTCAAAAATTCATATTATAAAAATAATGCCTTACCAGTATTTTTTCACAAATATAATTTCGTGTACAACCAAATCAATGAATATATATTGCTTTATTACATGTCAGCAAAATATTCAAATCGACTCGTTCCATGTATAATGAACTTCGTACCACCACCGACAGAATAAAAAATAATTGCACTGACAAGGACACTGTCGTTCCGCCGAACACTGTCACTAAACTGTATAATTTACAGTAATATTTTCATTCCAATTATTTATAACAATCACTAAATTATCATTAATTAACATTATTATTGCTTCGACTTCCTACTGATATGAAATTAATGTTATCTTTGCAGCGGAGTGCATTTTTTCTCGGTATGGAACGATTGGCTCAAATGATGTGTATGAGTCAGCTTGGTCTTTATAAATAACATTTAGTGTGAAATACGAATGAACAGACCCGAATTTTGATAAAAAAATAATTAAAATTAATTTTATAACATATCTATTACAGGTCTTTATACCTTGTATTACTTTATCAAAGACAAATATAATAAATTTATATGAATTTTAACCATGTATGTTAAGATTTTTGAGTACACATTTTAATGTCTTCAGACGATAGTTTTGTATCAGGACAAATTTTTCTCATGCATAAATTTAAATAAATAAAAATCTAAAAATATACATTATTTTTTATAAACCTGATTACTATTGCTAAAATTTAAATTTATTTTATCTTAGCAGGGCTATACTGTGTAGAAGTATGAAATTGTTCTAATATTTTATTATATGTGATAAATAAATTATCCTAAATTTTTCAATATAGGCAAAATAATATGTTTGTATGTGGGCTAAATACTATTTTTGACTGGGGATTTTTTCCTTAAATAAAATATTAATATATATATATAGATATATATATATATATATATATATTTATATATATATATATATATATATATATATACGATGAGATGAGATCTTGTTATTTTTTATGAAATTTTGACGCGCTATTAAGGGACCACGTGTTTGTTTCGTTCAGTTATATATATATATATATATATATATATATATATATATATTTGAGGGTGGTCCTTAATATAAACCTTTTTGATTTTCCTTGCTCCCAAGGACTCAAATGGTTCCAAATTCAAAATTTTTTTCATGCTATTTCCATACAAAACTTTGATAATATTAAGAGCTAAAGATAAAACTTTTGAGCAAGGAAATTCGAAAATGTCCATATTAAGGACCACCTTATATATATATATATATATATATATATATAATATATTCTGATATGATTTCATCTAAGTCAATAAGTCTTTAACTATTTGTTGAGATTTTTTTAAGATGTTAAACATAATTTTTAAATTCGGTATTAAATTTATTAAGGATATAAACAAACGTTATGTACATAAATTTACAATGATTCATAATACTGGAATAATATTTTATTATTACTTCTTTAATTTTTATTGTTTATACTTCGATAACATTCTGCAAATTATTTGATAGAATATTAACCGCTATCAAAAAAAAAACCTATAATTTTACCATCATTATATAGATAATAATTTATATCTACAAATAAAACAATCTACTACGATATAACAATTTTATAAATATTTTATATATCTATGATTTAATAAAATAACTAATTTGGCTAGTTTTTGAACTTCGATGAAAACTATGCTATACCTGTATATTTTTTTAAAAAAAAGTATTTATATCACAACGTTTTCATTATTAATCAATTTTATTCTAACTCTTTAGCTTCTGTATCTAAAATAGTCTTGAAACAAAACGGCGTGAACAAATAACCTAAACCTTCGTAGAATTTGCTCATGAATTCAACCCTGGAATAAAAAAATATAATTATAAAATATCAATTATAATAAATAATAATAGTTTTATTTTATAAAATGATGAATTTATTATTTTTACCAGTGTAAACGTAATGTATGAAGAAAAGCTGAAAGTCCTTCCATCATGACTAGAATAACCAAGGAAAAACAGGACCAAACGTAGAATATGAAATATATCATTACTGATCCTTCATAGTCATTTGATTTTAGCGCCATTCTTAATATCATCATCCACATGACCTCAGATAATTCTGAAAAAAATATTAAAATATATATTAAATATAATTAATTTCCCATATTATATATGTTGGGAGACAATTTTTTGGATCCACGATTTTGGGAGAACGGTTTAACCGATTTGAATGATTGAAAAAACATTCCATTACTAGTAATAAGTAGACATGAGGACTAGTTTTTAGCAATGGCAGGTCCAGAAGTTTTGAAGATACTGGGCAAAAATTGCAAAAAAATGGCAATTTTGAGAGAACGGAACGTCCAATTTGAATAATTCAAAAATCATATCTTTTGTACTGAGTTTTCTATCGCTTAATGAAATATTGAATTCAAAGTCGTTTTATTCAAAACTTTTACATCGGAGTGCATAAAAGTTTGATTGATGTATAAACGTGAATAAAACACAGAGTAAAAAGGTAAAAAAATATTATCGATTATTTTTAAATTTTCTCAAAAATGTTCAAGAATTTGGTTTGAGGCACCTCTAATTATCATGCCTTTCTAATTAAGCTATAGTTTGCCTTTCCCAAAATTTTGGCCAGAAACTGTTTTAAAACTTGAAATTAATGTATACTATATATACGTATATGCATCTAATATAGTAATTACTGTTTACAAATAACATTAGTCACAAGTTTTTATGACTCCTCAAAGAAAGTTAAATAAACCAATATTTTGTTTCAGAGGGAATAACCGAGCGTGTTTCTCAGAAGCACATGATAAAATTGTATATATATATATATATATATATATATGTATGTATATACATATATTTAAATTTTAAATAACAGAGATTACTCACGTGCATGAGCTAATGACAAAGCCCACAGACGTAGATAAGACGCAGTATGAGAAACTGTGCTCAGAACATATTCGATGGTGTGAATTGCTTGATGGATAAAAATTTCACTCATTGGCTCTTCATCATGGTCTCCGTGTCCATGTGCTGCTGGTACAGCTGCTGCTTCAGCATCCAGATTTGTGGTCATCTCGATGCCTTGGCTCAAATCGCCATTGGTTTTTGGAGGTTGAGGAGATACCTGAAATAGATGGATAATCATCTATTATTATAATAAAATCACATAAGGATATACATTTATGGTTTACAACTGGCTGACGAAACTTCCTTGTATCATGGCTTTCCTTAGAACATATTAATTTTTCTATAATTTAATCCTTTACTACTTACTCTTCCTTGTCGTTTCCTAGTTGCCATTATATAGAACGGTTTTCCCAAAAGCATAACAGGAACACAAGCTAAAGCTATAGCTATAAAAGCCATTTGGATTTCGTTCTGTCCTGGGAACATAAATTCCTCACATTTTGGAGCTGGTTCTGTATGCTTGAACAACATCATGTTGATGAACATGATCAAAACGGAAGGAGCACATGTTGGTTCACGACGAATCTCTAAAAAAATAAAAAATAAATGTTTTAACCCTTTCCGCTCAGATGCCACCGCTCCGACGACAAAATAGATACAAATTTTGAAATGCCAAAGTGGAAAGCGTTAATTCCAAATCTAATTTAACAATATTTCTTACCAGGACTTTCGGCTGAATACAGAACCCACTTAAGGAACATCATAAATACCATGTATGCAAACAAAAGTACCAGAAATAGAAGTTGGGGAAGAAACTCTAATAATATATTGATCTTGCGTTTAAAATGGCTGAAATTAAAGAAAAATTCATAAAATCTACGTAAGTACAAATTGATTTGAAATACTTACACGTGATTAATAACGGCCACTGTAACTCCAAAGATCATATGAATCACACCAAATATAATTGACAATTTCATTTTAAAAGAATTCAGGAATATAATTTTGTTCGTCGAGAGCTATAAATGAGAGTAATTAAAATTTGCCAAATCTTGATATAATTTATATTGCTATATCATTTATATTTACTTGCCAAACAGGATCCAATCCTATAGGATATGCTGTACCATAATCATACTTTGGATCTAAAACTAACTCTGTGTTATTTAGAACTGTAGACTCATTATAATTAATGCTCCAACCACTGCCGAAAATATTTATCGATATTGAGAAAATATCATTATAAATAAATCCGGTATACATGGAGAAAATGCCCATCAACAACATAATATAGCGTCCAGAAAAAAATATGTTCCACGTGTCATCAGTTATGTTTTTGGCTATTAATTTTTTCTCGTTGATCACCAAAACAGCAGCAAATATTAAAATTATAAGACCATGACCAATGTCGCCGAACATGACTCCGAATAAAAATGGGAAGGTGATGATGGTGTATAGTGCTAGAAATAATAAAAATTACTTAAAGTCTGATGCTAGTTCTGGTATTTTTATTTATTTACCAGGGTTTGCTTCTCTATAGCTGGCTATGCCATAAGAATTGATGAGATTCTGGAAGCCCTGAGTGAATTTATTTGTACGATTAAAAGTTGGTGGCGCTTCTGTCGAAGGAATAACGTTTAAAAATGATTGCATCGAACTACCACAAGATTCCTGCAAAAATCATAAAAAACTTAGGACTACTTCAACTTGAAATGAAAAACATGCAATGGTATGGTAATGGTATTTACTGAGCCGTCTGTCAAAGCTTTTTGCACGAGTTCTAGATCATTAACGGGCACCCAGCATTCGCCTATTAAACATTTCTGAGTCACATCCATGTTGAACAAATTCATCGTGTGATAAATTGCTTTCATCTTGCGCACCATAATCTTCCAGTTCATTAATTCTTTTGCGACGCTCACTAAAACGCGATGACGATGGTCGTGAGTCTGATTTAGGACCTAGATAAAGGAATAAATGGATAAACAAGTCATTTTATTTAGGCCTAGGAAAACAAACCGACTATTAAATATCATCTTCTGAATTATAAGTATTATTTTAATTATTTTACCATTTTCAAATCAGCAAGTCTAGTTTTTACACCCATGAGCATATCCTCGCGTTCGGCTGGGACACTCGGGCAAGGATACAAAGATGCATGGAAACCAGTGCACACTTTTTTCAGACGAGTTTTTAATTCTTCTCCTTGGAAAAATGCAACAAAGACAGTTTTGTATATTTCATTGCCCTAGAAAAATAAAAATAGCGCGATATTACATTGAATATATACCCTGCAGTAGTTGCATTTAAATCTTATAATATAGGGTGGGCCATTTAAAAATTGGAATTTATCGATAGCAACTTGCCTGTAGGCCACACAGTGCGGAATTCGAAGTTGCGATATATGGGACAAAAACTAAGAATTTTGAGATCTTTCTAACGATGTATAACGCTTTATATGTTTCCTTTACAGAAATATCTAAACATTAAGATCACTAGATCACTAGGGCCACTTGATGGACCACCCGTTACGTGAAAGTCTTAAAATTTTCAAATTATTTAAAGTTACTATATCGTTATAAATGCCTATCAATTATATTTTTGCAGCCGGCACCTACTGTTCATATTTGAAAACGGACAATCGATTTTTGTTTGAATGACCGCTTGCGTCAATATATTCTGAAGCAAAGTAATATACCTCTACCTGTATTTCTTTTTATCCGACCAATACAACCATAACAATTGTTGAATCAAAACAGATCAGATCCGAATCAGCTTAAATTATTTCTATTATTTTATGCACATTTTTCTATTAATCGTGCCTTGAGACAAATTGCTGGAACTTCCCAGATCGAATTAAAAATTTGAATATCTAAATTATTGTGGTTGCTTATTTTTCTCAAAAACTGCTATTTTTACGACGACTGGACCCGTCTTCGCAAAAAAACTAATTACCACTTTTCCCCAAAAAATTATTAAAAAAAATTTTTTTGGTACGGAAAGTTCTAGCAATTTGCCTTAAGGCACGACGCCATGCGCCGCACTAGTTTTTATTCCTGCTCTTACCGTAGTGGGGTCCTCTAAAGGTTTATCCAATTCCGCCCTTCTCAAAAATACGTTTCCTCGAGAAATACGCCAAAGCATTCTCTCGAAAGCTGGAACCCTGGCCCTTTGAATCACACCTGCCACGAACCCAAGTCGGCCCCGGTTGACGGCCTGTTGGGTTCCATCATCGTGGACGGCGTTTGCAGGCATCATATCTGGGGTAACTGCAGCTTCTTGTTCGGCGAAAAATTGCTGAGAAGACGGTAAAAACATAGATAATCTTCAGATTTCACTGTATACATCCTACAACTCTAAAATTATACTAAACGTGATGAAAAATTATGATTATTTTATGTTAAGGCGCTTTAAATTCGATGTTCCATATCTAACCGGTACCATGCATTGTGCACTAACCTCGAGCTCAGCTACATTTCAGGTTAAAACCAAATCTTGCGTACCGGTTGTTTATGGGACAGGGGTTAAATCAAGAACTTGACATTTTTTTCGAAACAAAACTAAAGAATTGAATTAATTTTAATGCAGTTTGATACAGGTTCATTCAGATCATTCAAAAATATCACGGAATTATCTAAATATAAGTGTTTACTACCCCTTTAAGTGTTTACTACCCAATTAACGATCGGGTTTTTTTTTGTGAAAAGTGATCTAAAAGAGCAGTTTTTTTTATTTCGGATTTTAGAAGTTTAATTGATGTAATATGTGTTTCTGATAACATTTTCTTTTTTTATTTTAACAATTTAAGAATTTAATTATGCTTGTACACCAAACAGAACTTAAGAATCCTTTAAAAAGTTGGCTTAATACTAATTGGTTCTACAGATGGCAACCTAAACAATTATCGTTTCTGTATATATAATATATTTTTAATGATAAAGTAGTTTGTCAATAAATAAAGCAAGTCACCTAGTGACATAATCAATCTAAATTGATAAGCTAGTATTTAGTTTGTGTTCAGCAGTTATTGAAAATACATAGTAGGGAAAACATCAAAGAATTGCTGCCTTGGTCAGGTATAAACATACATTTGAAAATTGACTTTTTAATTAATTTATATTCATAATCATGATTATAATTGGGCAGTTGTAAAGTACTCGTTATATAAAAATAATGCGTAAGTAATAATACATAGATAATTTTTATACCAATTATTTGCGAATCCTTGTTTTATTTTGAATCGATAATAATTTGAATATTGCTAATCAGGAATTGTTGCAAGATGCCTTATTATGCAAAAAAATTGTATTTATTTGTATATTTAAATTTATATTGTATTTTTAAATTATTGGTGTATAGATATTTTGGGACTTCTAATTAGGCAGTTGTACCATTACTTACATTATTATTATTATCATTATAATGATTTATGCTAAACCAGGAAGTTCAGGTCTACATGACTACTTTGAAAATGCACAAGAAATTTATTTCCTCGTTCTATGTTACATTTTATTACCGGCAAAAGGGTTTTTGTTGTTTTTTGTATACGTAAATAAATACTAAACCATTTTAAATTAGTACAAATAGAATATCCGAGTAGTAATGTTCTGAAAATAGATTTAATGCAATGATGAGAAAGCATAATAGACGTGTTTATTTTCGCATGGCGTGAAACTTTGTCGTAGTAATGGACTTTTATGGACACATGGGTAAAACAAATATTTACAATTATAAATACAAATTATTACCTCAGTTTTTTCTAAAATATTAAGCAATTCCGTTAACTCCAGAAAATTTGACTTTAGGTTCACAGCGTTTTGTGAGAGTTCCATAATCTCATTTTCAGTCTTCTCCAGTCTGGCCTGTAAAAAAATAAAATATTTATATTTTTCATCAATATTTAAAATTATAACACGTTAGTTGCCATGTCTCACGTTAAGGAGTGTCATGTCAGACAGATACGATTTTTACTCTGTTTTATTTAGCAATCAGAAATACATAAGGATTCCTATAAGCTAAATTGACAATATTTGAGAGTAAAGAATTGGAAGGAGAAAAAAAAGCTTTATATAGGGCCATGTCAGTCACATATGTATGCTATGAAAAATAGTGTTTTTCCAGAAATTTTGTAATTTTTTTGATACATTGAGTTTTCTTGATATATTTTTAACTAAACTATCTAATAAAGTTACCATGGCCTATGTAAAAATTTTCACTTTTCAAATACTTTGTATTGGTACTGGATTCAATCGTTTCAAATTATATAATTGGAGCAAATAAATTACCCAGCAGTTTCTTCACAAAACAAGAGATATTTTTATGACAAAATTCATTTATTGATTGAAACATTTACTTCGAGATCAATAATTTCCTTATCAAAGAAATTTTAGTAAATAAATACCTATCAAAATACTTTGTATTCATAATTGAATACTGACTTTGATACGTCCCCAATTTTCTCATTCAGACATCGATTCAAACTATATAATTTGGGTAAATAAATTACCCAGGAATTTCTTTAAGAAATATACGATATTTTTTTAATGCCTTCCATATTATCTATATTCATGATGATTAAATTTTTCGGTTAAAATATTTACTAGGTATCTGGAAAAGAAGATCGATAAATTTCCTATCTAATGAATTTTCATTAAAAAATTCCAGCCAATCTGTAAACTACTTTCTGTTCATAAATAAATTTAGACTTTGATGTGTTTCCAATTTTATAAAATTATATTTTACAAAATAAATATCCAAATTCAATCCTATAAGCTGTTTAGATGCTTTGACTTAACTAACTACATTGGTTTTTATAGATGACACCCAAATATTTGTCCTAATTTTTTTGATGATTATTTTTACAATTTTTTTATTAGTGAGATATTTGCCCTATTACAGAAATTGTAATAATAATATATTATACAGAGATGGTGTTCGGACGTACTTTCGTTTTATTATATTGGCCATGAAGGTGACAACTTTCAGGGCATTTAGCTTTACACAGAATGGTTGCTACCCCTGGTAGAGGGGGTAGAGGAGTATTTTAATTAAACTAGTTGTTTACTTCTAAAAGTAAAGTCCGCGTAACAACATGTATAATAAATAACCAATAAATATATCTTCTTTCATTATAACTTAGTAACAAGGCTTGTAATTAGAACTGCAACAAATACATAATACACAAACAAATCAGAGTTTAATACAGTCCACAGCTACAAGGGTTAAATTATAACCCAACAACCTGAATTATCGAAGGAGAGTTTTAATAAATTTTCTAATTACGTACACAGATGTGTTTGGGTTGCCATCTGTCGAAAAGACTAGTATTAAGTCAACATCAGCATAACAACTTATAGGACTATTAAGTTCTGATTGCTGTTTAAAAATAACAAAAAAAAATTATTAATTATTTTATTGATTCAGCAGTGCCTGGCAAAAGCTAATTGCACTTGGAAACATATTACTATCTATTAGTTTAAATTATAGTTGATGTCACTACTGCTTGACATCAAAACTTTCTGATTCTAAAATCCCGTAGCTCTAAATACTAACCACGAGGGATTTCCTTTACAATGTCGGCATTCGTGATCATGAAATATTTCGATTGAAAAATTTATTAGTTACCTCGAGGTCAATAATTTCCCTCGGATTAGGTGCAACTGGCAACTCGCTTAGGGGAGGTATGGCCACGTCGTCTTTATTGATTTCGGCTTCGACGTAGCGGAGTTTCCTTTCCATTTCATCGCAGCGTCGCACCTCGTTCACAAATTTTCGCTGGAAGGAATTCACTTCGGAATTCAACTGAAAAATAGAAATATTGTATTGTTTCATGTTTGGATACTATAAAAGTATTTACGGAAATTTGTGGGTACTTTTACGAATTATTTGCGTAAGCGCGATCAATTAAAAAGATTACTAACTCCACATACTACCGAGTATGTATTTTCCTACTTTTTTGCCAAGTTTAACACTGTATAAATTAATTTTATTTTTCACAGTAAAGAAAAATAGTTATATTGTATTGTTTTATATAAAAAAAACTCAAAAATTATTTGCGGAAATTAGTTGCTATTTTTGTAAAAAGTGACAGGAATAGCTCACTCAGTAGCTATGTTTTTTGAAATTTAGATATTGTGGTCTATTTATCAACATACATATTTGAATTTGCAAAGATTAATATTATTCACTACGTTCTTGATAATACGCCCGAATCGTGATCACAATCTTCAACCATAATAATTTACGATACTAACAAAATCACTGGTCAATATCACTGTAAAAATCTTATTATTGAATATTTATTTTCCGAAATACCACAAACTTATTCTTTAATGATAATGTAATTATAAATGTAGTGATTTACAGATTTTATATGGAACTACTGTGTCTTACATAAGAGACAATGCCAGTTAAATTTCTTTCAAAAATTTGCATGTTTTTGTCCCTGCTAATGTAAGTTGTGTTTATGGAATGTTTTGGACTTGCTGAATTTTTTGTTTGTTGTATTCAAATTCTATCACGTATTGACTCACAAAATGCATTTATATAGTTACTGGTATTGTCCAAAGAAACACACAAATGTTCTGGTAACTGAGTGAGAGATATCTCATTTTCAGTGGTGTTGGACACAAAAGTCTAATCAGTAGATTTTAGCATAATTTGTTAAATAACTGAAATAATTTTTTCACAAAAATTGATAGATACTAATTTATTTGCTTTTATAAATTAAAATCTGTCGTTATAAAGAGGAAACAACATTCAACAATTTTGGTGGATAATTATATAAGGGAAGAAGGTTACCAACGAGTGGTAACCAGTTCCGTTGTTGATCGTATGGAGCTTATAGAAGTGAATTAATAGTAGTGATAGCTAATAAATGGCACTATTTTTTTATCAATGAGTTATTATATTAGTGATTATTTTATTTACATCTCTGAATTGAACCGTTCCAGCTTCTCCCAATTCGGAGACAGTTGAATAGGCGGCTTCGGGCTGGATGAACATCTGGCAGAGCGCCATCTCCTCACTGCGAAACATTGCCCCCATGATGAGGCTGGTGTGGACCTCACTTCTGGAAAAGGTTAGATTTATAAATATTACTTTATGTATATATATATATATATATATATATATACAGCCGACTCTTTCTCACTAATCCGAAATTTCGATAGACCGACACCTTCCAATAATCCGGCACCTTCGCGACCAAATTTTGTGTTTTTTTTTGGGAAGTTTCAACGTTATTTCCAAAGTCATATGTTAAAAATTATGACTATTTTCTAAAATACAATAATACGACACCCTCCAGATTTTAATACCTAATAAAACGTTGAGGTTACCAATACACTATATATAATATATATTACCTATACACTATTTTCATTACATTATTTTATTTCTGTTGTTTTGCAGAACTGATTATTTTGAATACCATTTTAATCAAATTGTAGAGGATTTGAATTGTACTTAGTTTCATCACGAGTTGCATTGATATTTTAATAACATTGGAATATCTTTCAGCATGTGCTAGGTGATAAGATTTGTTTAATAAAATGCTGTTTTTGCAATACAATAAGTAATAATAAGGTGTGAGCAAAATTCCGGGTGATGTTATTGTCGAAATAGGATCTTAATTATATAAAATTTGCAAAACCTAGCTTCATCGTAGTACACTTAAAAAAAAATTATAAAAATTATATAATAGAAGCATACAGAATATTTAGTTAAGATTTGTTAACAGATATTTATTAGTAATAAGTTTATTAATCATATATTAGTTAGCAGATTAATAATTTAATTATCTATTAATTTTGTTAAAACTTAAATTCTGGAAATAATTAAGCATGACAAATACGTTAAAAATTCCTTTTGATAAGATGCAATTAAACACATGATTTAACTCAAATAAAATAATTTTAAATCATTTTTATCGCAAATATTTACTTCATTCAAACAGTATCAATATCGTAAATGTACTGATTTTATTGACTTTTTTGCATATCTGTTCAATACAGTTGCCAACCCAGAAATTAGATTAAAATCAATTAGATTATTCTATAAAATTTTGAATTTCAATATGTTTAATAATAAACTTATCGTAAGCCAAATTGTATTTATAACACTTGAAATATTTGAATAACCCTTTCAAATAATTTAAATATCGTGCACTGATATGACTTTTTTTCAATTTAGTTTACATATTGTTACTTAATATATTAGGTATTTTTTTCACTGAAGTTAATAATATTCTATAAATAATGAACAAGTCGCATGTCCAAATTTATCATAAAGAACATCGAGCTCATGATAAAAATTGTTATTTATAAATAATATGAACTATATTTAATATAGTTTAGTCCCTGGATCCTCCTCTTAAAACCTTCTCAATCGTCAATTTAAAATCCATTAGGCTGCATGGTTAATCCACCGAGGTTCTTTCCTAAGAATAGTTCTAGTTTTCTTACCTGTAT